CATTTTTTTTAAACCCAACTTCAGACCATAGTAAGGTGGATAATTGCTAGAGAGACATCATGCATGCACCTGCTTATTTTAAAGATGTTCTTTTAATTCCTGCACTGTAGTATAAATAGTAATACTGTATAGACCCATTATGTAATACTGTATAAATTACCCATTATGTTTTGCGTATATGTGTAAGCAGAATGCTTTGAACTTCCGGTCGGCAGCTTGATGCGTATAAAAAAAGAGTCACATTTGGACAGCTTTGAAACGATAGTTTGAATCTATTTTACTTAATTTTTAGCTTTAGTTTGAACTAATACTGCTGTTGATCAGCCCCACCTCCTGCACTGATAATTTAAGAAATTTGATCTAAAGGGAAAGAAAAAAACTGCTGCGAGGCATTACTCTTACATCTTGTGCCATTTAAATGAAGCCTCATCATTGGTAAAGTCAACATTTTCCCTTTCTTTTAAATATATTACCTTCTCAAACAAATTTAATTCACCAAAATGTTTGACACACACATATGCTGTCCCACTAACACATTGATTAAAAGAGTGGCACAGTGAAAATAAAGTGGCATTTTGAAATAACAGAAAAACACAACCATGGTACCACACACAGTGGTGTAGCGGACAGGCCAGGAGGCCCCGCGTCAATCCCCCAATTTTTGGATATTGCATAGCTTGCATACTTGTTAATTTGCCAGTAATATGGTTTGCTCTATAATGCAGGGATGTATTGTGTATTGTATTGTGCATTGAAGAGCCTGCAGAGCACAGTATAACAGCTGACACGTCTGGAACACTGACGCTATATTTCAATATCTTATCTGACTGCAGACACTTAATTAGGATAACATATTTCTCTCGTGCTTTAACTGCAATTGACAGAAGTGTAACAGCAACAATATTAACCTACACATTTAAAAAAACACCTTTTATTCTAGCCAACCTAAAAAAACAAAAGGTGTATCCCAAAAGAAATACTTATGCACTATTCTACGTCATTTTGTATTATAAATAATGTAAGTTGTTTGTTCAATTCTAAAAAGTTTGTTTAATTCTAAAAAGAATAAGTGCACTGTAATTACTCGGACGATGCACTTATTCGACCGGTAAAATTGAGTAAAAGTGTGTATTGTTGTACACTTCACGCACTATCGGGTGCACAAGTTGGATGACTTTTTTATTTAGTTTGGATTGTAACAGCAGAATTCTCCTATGAGAGTGATCATATCGCCTTCCGATGGTGAATGCGTTTGTACTCACTGCAGGTGTTATTTGGTAGTTTAGTCATTCACTAATTTGGCAACCTGCAAAAATGTCAGCAGGGAAACGGTTTGAATTTCCGCTTAGTAAAAAACCATTAGTGTTCCATTTTTTGACTGTGCTGCTGAGTGTGTAAGTGCATAACTACATAGTGCATAAGTGCATAGTGTATAGTGTACCATCTGGGATGCAGCTATAGACTTTCTTAAGAAAAACAATAATAATGATGATAATAATAATAATAATAATAGGAAATGCTCTGAAAATCTCCTTGCTCTGTTTAACATCACTTGGGAAATATTTAAAAATAATAATAATACAAACTTCACAGGAGGGCTAATGATTTTGCTTTAAACTAAATGTTTGTTTTTTATTAATTTATTAAAATGTACACTTACTAACGCAAGCATCACAGTGTTGTTGCTGAACATTTTCCACATTTAATACATATTATTCCATAATCTGTTGAAATTCTTGATTCTGATTGGCTGGAGGGTGTGCATTATTTTCGTTAAAACACACAGGTAGTTCCAGCAAAGACTAAAGGAATACACAAGACATGTCACTCTAGTTATGTCAGCATAGTTTTAAATGATGAAAAGTGTAAAGGTCAATATGGTGAATGAAGCCCCGCCTTCTAGTACAGGATGCGATGGCTTTAGACTGACGATACTCTGGGGGAGGGGCTCGGACCAGACGTGAGTTTCTGCAGATTTTGTGTGATTTGGACGTTTAGAAATGAAACTGAAGAAACAGTTGTTGTTTATTTTTATGGGTGTTTCCTAATTTAATCATAAGCTTGGCAAGCAGTTTTAGAGAATTTGATGTTTCCCCATTCAAACAAAATGCCTGAGCACACTGCAAGAGTGGTGCTTCAAAGATGACTGCTGAGTGAAATGACTTGCCTTATAGAGACTTTGCTGTGATGTCAAAGTGATGTCAAAGTCAAATCGGTAGTTTATGTATAAGGATATGTAAGTTTATAAGTTTGTAAGGCGGCCACACTCTGATAGCACATTGTGTGGTCCTTTGCAGGGGCGGGTTTAACCAATAAGCTAGGTAAGCGGCCGATTATGGCCTCAGGAAATCTGAGGCCCTCCAATGAATACCTAGAATGATAAATTAGACCTATAAATTATATATAACATCATATTTAGTATGATGAGGGTCTAAAAAAATAAGTTTAACGTTTATTACATCGCAAATGCACAAATTTGTCCCCCACCCTCAATCATGGAGCTGTCCAGTAGTCAAATTAGGTAAAGATTTAGTTTTAAAAACAAATTAGTTTATATATCAATTTCAGTTGTGAATTTATTTCAAGAAAGCAAATCATATAAAAGTTTTACAATATGCTTTACGTGCTGTTTTTATTATTATTTAGCATTAAGAAAAAATGTAGAAAAGAAGATTGAGTGATATAAGAATAAAAACAGCTAAATAAATCAATTCAAAATAAATTGAAATACAAAAGGTGCATTTTAGAATTTTCGGGCCCAATGGCTGGAATTGTTTAGGGCCCCCAAATCACTAAGGGCTCTATTTTGACGGTCCATGCACAAAGTGCAAAGTGCAGGGTGCAAACGCATTTAGGGCGTGTCAGAATCCACTTTTGCTAATATAAGGATGGAAAAATCTGCTTTGCGCCATGGCGAATGGTCTAAAAGGGTTGAGTTTATTTTCTTAATAGGTGTGTTTTGAGAATAAACCAAACAGAGACTCATCTCCCATTCCCTTTAAGAGTCAGTTGCGTTGCGCCATGGTGCATTTGCTATTTACATCACTTAAAGTAAGTGTAAGTGGAAAAACTGAGCATTTCACTAGCAAGAAAACAGAGCATCTACAGCACGGGAATGAGAGATAAATTATTAACTTTCACTTTCGCTCTCGTGGATAGGGAAACCTTGTATGCACAGACAACAATTAGCCTATTATTAGCCTATACTGCTAATAATAATTACATTATACAAAAGCAAATTGTTATGAATGAACTAAAAAAGCCTCTAGAGATGAAGAAGGCATGAAGACTGTAGTTTTTATATTTAAGTAGGCTAAAAAATAATATGTTTTGTAATATTTTAATCCTTTATATTTATATCCTATATATATATATATATATTCTTATTATATCCTATAAATCCTTAATATTTAAATTATTTTTATATATGTAAAGATATTTGTGTATTGCTCTAAATCTTGTGTGTATTAAGCAGTGTGTAAGCCAGGCGCACAACTAACGCACTCTGTGCTGGACAATAGACCGGCTTTGTTTTGGTCTTTTGAAAAATCTATTATAGTTTCTCAAAATAGCAATGCACCAGCAATACACCTCAACACGCCACCAGAACGCCTATGAGCGCAAATGCCTTTGCTATTTAACAGCGTGGCGGAAAACGTCAAAACGACTCTTGCGCCAAGCTGAAACTAGCAAACAACAATTGCGTCGCGCATTGCGTCACATTGCGCCGGGTGTATGATAGGGCTCTTAATCTGCCTTTGGTCCTTCACCTGAACGTCATGCTTTAAAATCCTTTAATGCACGGCAAGCTATTGATTATCCCTTACATGTACAATAGAACACTAGAAGAACACTGTATCACTGAGCTGCTGAGTTGCATATTTTGGTCAAGTTGTACTCTTATTTATGATACAAAGTGTGCCAGAACTACCATAGCTCCTGCTCCAAAAAAAGTCTGTGCTGCTGACAAATGTTTTGCAGAGGTTTGTCATTCGACGCGGTCAATAATTTGTCTGTCCTACTAAGTGCATCTAGTCCTACTCAAAAACCACTCTAGTTCTCTTCATGCATTTTCATCAAGCAATAAAATGACAGGGTGTTCAAACGCTGTGTGCTTAAAAAATGCTAAAATCATCATGACGCAACAAATCGCTTGGAAGTGAAAAGTGGACATCAAACCCAGGGGTGCGTGAGAATCCTTCTAGGTGACAGGTCTTTGATTTTATCAGCAGTTTTGACAAGGTTACCTCTTTCAATGACCTTTAGTCTGTTTTCGACTGTCATTCTAGACTCTTCTTTATCAGGGACTTCAATTTCATTATGGCTTTAGCAATCTTTAGTGGCTTAAAGAATGGCATATTAAAACACTGCGCTTCATCTTTGATGTGTGGTCAAATATTAATCAATCAGCCCAGCGCTGCTCATTTAAGAGCCCCACAGCAACAGATTGGTCCAGGTATGAAGTAATGTCTGCCTATAGTCGCCCTATTGGCCAGCTTCAGAGAATGATCATACTGACTAAGCATTTCCACTACTGTGCGAAGCAAGCGATGTGTGAACAGCTTGTGTCATATAGCTGCTGTTTGCCAAAGACCAATATTGTCATTATCTGTGATTATGAATTTCCTTTTTATTGCATTAGCCGTTATCGGTTACGTCTATTTATAGGGTCTCTATTATCGTTCTTGTATAGTATATTCTACCCCAAATGAGCATATATCCAAAGATAATTGTCAGTTTTTTTAATAAGGTCAAGTTGTTTCTGATCTTCTATTAATGCAAACAGTAAAGGCCTTCCATTAACTGCAAGCCAGGCGAAAATGCAGTTACGTATATTTTAGGCAGTAAAAACTGTTTTCCATTCCAGACTGGTTACACGTCTAATGATAATGAGGTCATGGTGGCTATGATAAAGACATTACGTCAACAATGACAAAATAATCCTTTTCATTATTTGCTGATAAGCTGGTAGCTTTCTTACATTGTTTCTTGTTTCCCAGGGAAAGTCATACCCATTCAAAGGGCCTTTCCCTCCCATGTGGAACCCTTTTGCCTACATGGACTACAACAACCTCTGGAGGACAATGGATAAGATGGGAATGGAGGTAAAGGATATTTTTATTTAGCTCCGTTTAAAAATGTAATCAACTGTTGCCCTGCATACATCAGATTCCTTGGCAATGTTTATTGAATAAGTTGCTTTTGATTTGAAATATTCACCGGATGTTGGGAACAACAACCAAATAAACCCATACTATATGCAAGGAAAATAAACTGATTAGTTTAGAAATGAAGTTATGTGTAATAAAATGAAATGATGAAGGGAAAATAATATTGAACACATGAAGAAAGGGAGGTGTAAAAAGGCAGTGAAAGCCCAGACAGTAGCTGAAATCTCTCAGACGTTATTCAGCAACCCTCTGCCCTTCGTCACTGTAAATGAAAATTATCTGCTTCAGTCCAACATCTACATTAGATGATGAAGATAAAATACATCATATTACCTGGCAATGTTTATTGAACAATAGTTCTGACCAAGAATGAATGGTGTCAATCCTAGTAGTGACAACAAGTGTAGTCCGATTACTGAATGTATGACTCTTTATTAGTCAGTTTTTGTTTTTGTGAATCAAACTGATCTAATCACTCTCATGAGTCGAATCGCATTAGTGAATCAAACTTGTACAACATAATCAATGCAGGACTACATCAAACTCATACAGTATGACTAGATTAGTACAGTTTTTGAACTAATGACTCTTAGGAGTCAATCAAACACATTCAGCTCAAGCAGTTGAGTCCAGTTTAAGGTAAATGAGACCTACTGTAAATGGAACTGGTTATTCATAAGATCGTGTATTTTGTTAGTAGTATTTTTAAACAATGAATGAAATAATTGACCACATTTTAGTTTTTAATTGCTCAACAAATTGTTTAATTTGAAACCATATACACATTTAAACAGGCGCTTATAAAGCATTTTTGGTATGACATCATTTATATTTCTTAAACATATACTAACCACCAGTTTGATAGACAATGCTTAAGCGTAGTCTCAGACAAAAATATAATACTTCAACTGACTGACCTTTAAATATATAAGTGTCTTTGTAATGTCTCTAGATGGACAACAGTAATGTTTTTCCAATGCACAATTCTAAACCCTAATAGGCCACAGTCTGTGAAACCAGGCCTAAGAATCATTATTGGAATAGTTAATATAAGGATGCAGTATGAGTATTAACCACAGTGGATGAACAGACAGAGTGTCTGATGGCAAATGTGCACTTTAGATTCCTAAAGAAGCTCCATGGAGAGCCCCACATGCTGAAGAATGGGACAAGATGACCATGCAGCAACTCTTTGATAAGATCTGCTGGACCAGGTACAGACAATGAATCAATTAAAATCAGATATTGTCATGAAATATTGAGCATAATGACACATCTCTTTACCCATGGGTTGCTTGCAGGTCAGCTCGCCGCTTTGCCACTCTGTTCGTAAACGTGAACGTGACCTCGGAACCCCATGAGGTTTCGGCTTTGTGGTTTCTTTGGTACGTCAAGCAGTGCGGTGGCACAATGAGAATCTTCTCTACCACCAATGGAGGACAGGTACATTTACCAGCCTTAATACATGCATTTTTTAGCTCACATTTATCTTATTGTATTTTTTCTGTCAAAAAACAGGTAATTATACAACAAACACTGAAATGCCACGACATTCACGTTTGCGCAGTGTTTGTGTGCATCTCTTTGGCTTCTTCACTGCAGCAGTGCTTGCTTGTGTTTACAGTATAATTAATGTCAGCGGGAGAGCAAGAGAAAGATAGAGGCTTTATCGCCCTGTGTCTCTTGGCTGATATTGGCAGTCCAGGACAGCAGGTGGTAGAAATGGTGATATAAATCAAGCTATAGCTGTTCAATCCAATGTTCCTGCCAAGTCCAATATTCATTGTCGCTGTTCAGTCCTCACCCCTAATTTAGTTAACCATTGCTTTGAAAATGGCTCTTGCTGGAAGGCAAGGCTAGATGTGGAGGAAAGAGAAATTAATTGCTGTCATGAGGAAAAGGGGTACATTTAATTTAAGGCAAAGTTCACTGATAAAAAAGATGTTTAAACTGCAAAAATGTTGTGGTATGTATGCCATTTGTGATAGGTTGACTCTTTTTTTTTAATTTTTGTCTTAAATTTCTAAGATTAACCAGTTTTGTTTTTAAGAGGTTTACCACAGAAATGATACAGTGGGGGAAATAAGTATTGAACACGTCACCATTTTTCTCAAAAACATATTTCTAAAGGTGCTTTTGACTTGAAATATTCACTGGATGTTGGTAAAAACTAAATAAACCCAAAAATGCAAAGAGAACAAAGCAAATTAGTTTAGAAAGAAAGCAGTTATCTGTATTAACATGAAATGATACGTGAAAAAAGTATTGAACACATGAAGAAAGGGAGGTGTAGATAAGCATGGAAAGCCCAGAAAGCAGGTGAAATCTCTCAGACGTTATTCACCAATCCTCTGCCCTTCGTCAGTGCAAATGAACATTAGCTGCTTCAGTCCAGCATCTACATTACCAAATGATGAAAAAAAAACAGGGTGAACATTCCATTAAGACAATGACCCAAAACACAGCCAAGAAAACTCTCAAATGGTTTAAGAGAAATAAACTCAAGCCATAGAATGGCCCAGCCAATCACCTGACTTGAATCCAATACAAATTACAAAATAAAGATCAGATTTTATAGATGAGACCCACAAAACCATCAAGATTTTTACACTCTGTTGAAGTCTGTGAAAAAACCCCAGCCTGATCTCATGAAGAAACGTGACTATTTTACGTTTTGTCAGTTTAGTGGCTTATTCGTATGCATTCCTACGAGTTTAGTCATATGAAAATTTTTAAAAGGAGGTATGGCACCCATTCTTGCCTCTAAACCCATCTGTCACTGGGGGATAAGCAAATCGTTCTAAATTGAACGAATGAGATAGCTACTAAATAAAAAAGCTACAAATTGCAGTGAAATTGCGTTGAAAAAATCACACCTGAGCAATGCAATTAACTTCATTCTCCAAAAACATGACACGTTCAATACTGCCCACTGTGTATTTTTAAAATATTACATATTTTTAAATATTTGGGCCAATATAATGACTAAAAAAGCTTTGTATGAATGCTTACTTTTTAAATTACATAATAAGGACAAAGCAGGGGTCTATGTATGTGTCCTAGTGGTGATGCCTTGTAACACAATTTAAAATTACTAACCACTGTATACATCCAGTCTTTACATTTAGTAGGATGGATGTTTCCCAGTGATGGGTTGCGGCTGGAAGGGCATCTGCTGCGTAAAACGTGTGCTGGAAAAGTTGGCAGTTCATTCCGCTGTGGCGACCCCAAATTGATAAAGGAACTAAGCCGAAAAGAAAATGAATAATTGTATAAAACATTTTCTTTATATTATTACTGTCGGTCGTAGTGTTAACTATATATATTTATATACATTATATATCTTTATAATGTGAATTAAACTTTTATATTTTATATTTTATTAAATTTTTATATTTTTATTTTGAGGTTTGCCTTAAAAAAAAAAAGAATCTTTAACTACATAATTTTGCACTGTTAAGATCACTTGGTCCATTTATTAGTAGACCCAATATCATACGTTAAGTAACCAAAAGCCAGTGTAAACATTAGTAGAGGAGTAGAAGTTTACCTTACCGCATGCCTGTGACACAGAGCTGATTATGTAACATACTAAAATAGTGGCCACTGTATCTGGGTCACATTTATAGCAGGAGTCTCCTAGCAAATGTGGCATTTGAGGGTGCACAAAAAACAGTTTTGTATAAGCTGGTGATAAACTGTTGCTTCTTTTATGATGGGCTTCCTATATGATTAATGTCATAAATTCTCAGAGCCTGTTTGTCTTCCTTAACTTGCTTTATATTCTTAACTTGTGTGATAAAGGCATGTGCATAGTGGCCAATATTATACAACTGTGTCAAAAAGCTCTTTTTTTAATAAACAGAGACCCCTCATGGTGAATTAAAGAACTGCAGTCCTTATCAAAGTGTAAATATCTGTTTAAATGAGTGTGAAACTGATCAAACCTTTTACATTCAATGTAGTTTTACACATAACCCTGAAAAACGTCTTATCTCTCAAAAAAATGACAGGAGCGCAAGTTTGCTGGCGGTGCCAATCAGATCAGTGAGGGGATGGCAAGAGAGCTGGGTGATCGAGTGAAGCTAAGCAGAGCTGTGTGCAGTATTGACCAGACTGGAGACCTGGTGGAGGTCAGGACGGTGAATGAGGAGGTTTACAAGGTGAGAAGACGCATATAAACTCATATATGGCTGACTACTACTGCTTAATGTATTTTTTGCACTACAAAACTTGTCAGGAAGGCTGTATTTAGAACAAGAACTAATTCTTGACATATTAAATGACTTAACTTAACTCTCTCTCAGAGTTAAACAGTTTTATTGTGCCATTTTTGAACCCATTCAGCCAGTCGCTGTGTCTGGCGGGAGCCCACTTAGCTTAGCATAGATCATTGCATTGGATTGTACCATTAGCATCTTGTTCATAAATTATGAAACAAAGAGTGTGAAGAATGACTCTTCTTTATAGTTAAATAGCAATTGACAGAAATTGCTATTTTCTACAGCAATATGGCTAGGAACTATACTATCATTTTGCCGTAATAATTAAGAAACTTTGCTGCTGTGCCATGGTTGCAGCAGGAACAATGACATTACATATTCTAACTGGTGGAGCAAGCAGAGGGCATAATGCTGGTTCTATATCATGATATGACAGCAAAGTTCCTTGATTATTATTTATTTATTTATCCTTTATTTTACTAGGATAGTTCCGTTGGAATACAAGATCTCTTCTCCCAGAGAGTCCTATCCAAAATGACAGCACAAAAAATTAGAAAATTAGCTCTGTTTCATAATACACATGTAAAGGAAAAACAATTGAAAACAAATTAAGAATAAGTCATAACAAGTACATGTTCCCTTAAGTTTAAATCATACAGGCTTTCCAGCATTCCCAGCATCACAATACTCTCCCAGTCATTCCATAACAAGGGTGCAAAAAATGAAAAGGCAGTTTCGGCAAACTCTGAACGGTTTACTATTAGTTTAGCAGGACATCTACTGATATAGCTGGATAAATGATTACAAGTAAAAGCTGGTAATATACCAGTATATGGACTTTCTTCATTTGATATAGTAAAGACCACCCCACCATTTCATACACTGTAGAATGATGACTACGCCAGAATGAGAGTAAAGTTTATAGACATATCGGCCTAGAAAACTTTTTTTCCTTCAATCTTAGTACAAAGGGTATCCGCAGGGTCTTAAAAAGTCTTTAAATGTCTTAAATTTGAAAAAAAAACAAAATTTTAGGCCTTAAAGTCTTAAATTGACGGAAATATTTTCTTGTAGGTCTACAATCATTTTAAACGGGTGTTAATTTTCCTTTGTTTATATAAAGCTAACTAATTGATCCATTAATTAACTAATCCACCAACGAATACAACTAAATAAACTTTTAGACAGTCTGTTGTGCTTACATTTAGTTTTTTGTTGTTTTTGTTTTCATGTTGGTTATTATGTTTAATAGTTATATTGCAAAGAAATATGTGTAAATAACTAGGGTCTGCTTGTTTTTACATGTTTAAAACACTTGGCTAAGAAATAATAAATTATTTTTTGATAGGGAAAGTACTTTTTTTTTTCTTTATGGGCCATTAAAAAATCTTTAGTGTTTACCCCTATATAAGTCTTTAAAAGTATTACATTTGACTTTGTAAAATCAGCAGAAACCTTGATCCATAGTGTAACCACAGAAGAGTCGAGCTTTAAATAGGAGAATTATCGAAACTCTGGTAATTTTTAAATGAGATGCTAATAGTCTAATTTGATTCAATGATCTATGATAAGCTAAGCTAAAAGTGTTTCCCGTTTCCAGAGATCGGCTAAATGGAGTAAAAAAATGATAAAACTCACTAGTTTAACTGTGGGGAACTTGTAAAATGTGCTTAAATAAAAAATAAATTAAAGTGTTCTTTTAAAAACATGGATTAGCTGTGTCAGCTTTGGTTATCCCCATAAATAAAGATCTAAAGATTGCCTTTGTTTCATTTGTCATGTGCAAGTGGAACATCAATGCATGTGCAATGCATTGTGCATATATATGTGTGGTTTCCTTCCAAGTATCATGCAAGTCTATGCATGTACACAAAATATACACATAATATACATTTTGTTCAGTAACCAGTTGTAATCTGAAGGACAAATGCGCCCCTTTAAACCGTGTATCCCCATGTTTGTGTGTAAGATTGGTGGATCGTTATCAGTAAGCCTCTCTTCATCTCTCTGTCCTGAACCACATCCTCTTTCCTGAGCTGAAAGCTTATTAAAGGCTGCTTTCGAGCCGCTTAACCCTCTGGGAGGAGCAGTAGGGGGACACTCAGACCACTATATATTTAACAATGTGTCCTTGTATCAAAACACTACCCATTTTACACTACCATTTGTGTTTGAAAAGTGTTTGCAGCAAGCTATCTTCACAAAACTGCATTTATTTCATCATAAATAACATAAAAACAGCCGTCGGTGAAGGGTACAGTGGTGATGGCTTGTGTTTTGCTCTCGCTAGCTATAACTTCAGTAGTCTTTTTAACACTAAACTGAAATGCCTCATATTTGAAAAATGACTCTCTTTATGGTGTTTTTTCTATTTTTTTTCCTTGTAGGCCAAATATGTCATACTTGCCATACCCCCTGGTCTCAACCTGAAGATCCATTTCAACCCTGAGCTGCCGCCTCTGAGGAACCAGCTCATTCACAGAGTGCCCATGGGCTCAGTCATCAAGTGCATGGTTTACTACAAAGAGAACTTCTGGAGGAAGAAGGGTCTGCACCACTTTTCCACTTTTCTTTAAATCACTTAAAAGTAAGGGTGTGCAATATTGGAACAGAGAGGGTATTAATAATTCAGGTTTAGTTTGCTGTGTGTGTGTTTTTGTGCTGGTTTAAGCCTGCTGGATAAAAACAATATGGTAGTAAATAGAAAAGGGTTTTGCCAAATGGCTTCATTTCAGTCAAACAAATAATTCAAAATGGATGATTCATTTGGAAAGGAGCAAGCATCTTTATGAATGGATCCCTGGCTCAAATTATTAGGATTAATTCTCAAAAGAAGCTCTACGCTATTGTTCTCAGAAGCACAGATGTTCATCGCTGAGTTAGATAACTGAAACAAAAACCACAATGTTATGTCTAAAGCTCACTCAATGTTTTTGAGGTTAATTGAAGTGACAGTGGCCATTTAAAATAAAGCTGAAACAATATTTGAAATGTTGTTTTAGCCATGAAATAAAAAGTCCAAAAATAGCTCAAACTATTAATTAAATAAAAAAAAAATAAATAGATCATTAATATGTAATTGGGGTGGCACGGTGGCGCAGTGGGTAGCGATGTCGCCTCACAGCAAGAAGGTCACTGGTCTAGCCCCAGCTTGGTCAGTTGACATTCCTGTGTGGAGTTTGCATGTTTTCAGTGTTCGCGTGGGTTTCCTCTAGGTTAAAATTAGATGTTATAAAACACCAATATGATGCAGCTAAATATCAACTTTGATATTAACGGCCCTGGGAGCAAGTAAGTAAGTAATACATAATTAAGTGTGAAGTCTAATATATTTTAAAGAATAGTTCTGTCTAAATATTAATTTCACTAGGAAATACATTGGGATGCTCAAAATACCGTTAAACCGTTAAACGAAAGTGTGCGTTTTTAACCGATTAATGGTATCAATTAAACTATTAGAAATATTATTTTATGTATTTTTAAAAAGTTTGGCTGCATATGGGGCCGATCACATCAAACGCACTTTTTGCATTGAGAGGGGTATCTTTTGAATGGTTTACCAACAGCCGCGAGTGTTTTGCGCACCGCTTGTCCCAGAGCAGCTGTGTTTGTGTTGTCAAGACTACTACTAAAGAGCTTAGAATCACCAAGAGGCAACACTCAATAGAATGTTCCATTGCAACAGCAGCGCCCAGCAACAGCCCCAGGACTCCACCATTTTGGAGGGAAAATGATCGGCTGCCCATTGGATCTTATTGCTGTCGCAATGGCAAGCAGCTGCTTTGTTTTTTATTTATATATTTAAAAAGCGCATTAAAGGTGAGATACAACCTGAAAGACAACAATACAACACTTAAGATCACAATCATTAGCACTTTTAATAGTTTATTTTACAGACTTCTAATATGCTGTTGTTCTATAGGAGTTTTAGTTCTTAAATGTCCGCCGCGCCATCTACTGGCTGTTTCCCAAATCGCACTAGAGTGTTGCCTCTTGGTGATTCTATGCTCTTTGCTACTACAGAAACTTTTAAAGATGGAGGAGAGACAAGTGCTCACTGTTTCAAGTTCCAGAGCTTTATTACTATACAAATCTTAAATTTCACAATATTATTAAAATTACAATTATAACAACATTGACAGCAACACTTGCGCACAATCAATACGTAGCTGAATTAATCGTTTATTAGTGATATAAAAAGAGCACCGCGTTTTTTTTTTTTTTGTCAACATAAAAAAGGCAGTGTGATGCAACTTGTGCTTTTTGGAATAGAAAGTCACTGTTGCTGTGATCGGCCCCTTAATGCGCATCTACAACACATATTGTAACAGGGCTGTAACGGACAATCACACGTGCCTACAGACATATTTGCCAAAGAAGGAAACTGGAAGAAAAACATTGCAGTTTGACACAAACGATTTAATGCTAAACAAACACTGATGCTGATCATTTGTCTGCTGGATCTTCGTCATAAACACAACAATTAGCTATAGCTTTCATTTTACAGCTTATAAAACATGTATGCAAATTAATGCAATATCATATTTAAACAACCAAACTATTGACAAAAAATACAAAATACACGTCTATTTTTATTAAATAATAATTCAATCTTAATCTGATCAGTAAACGGTTAATATTCGATAAACGAGCGGCGGTTGTTGATCATCAAAATCAGGCGTGTCCAAACTACGGGCCGCGGGCCATCTGCGGCCCGCAATCAGTTTTGTGGTGGCCCGTGAGGCTTTTTATAAATAATAATAGAATCTGGCCCGCTATACAAAAATGAACGTAATTCAATAAATAACCACCGGGTGTCGCTATTACATGCATTCAATTAAGCAGTAGTTCTTGTTATGATCTATCTATCTATCTATCTATCTATCTATCTATCTGTCTGTCTGTCTATCTACACACAGTTGAAGTCTGAATTATTAGCCCCTCTTTGATTTATTTCTTCTTTTTTAAATATTTCCCAAATGATGTTTAACAGAGCAAGGACATTTTTACAGTATGTCTGATAATATTTTTTCTTTTGGAGAAAGACTTTTGTTTTATTTCGACTAGAATAAAAAGCGGTTTAAATTTTTTCATGAACCATTTTAAGGTCAAAATTATTAGCCCCTTAAGTCTTCAGAACAAACCATTGTTATAAAATAACTTGCCTAATTACCTTAACTTGACTAGTTAACTTTATTAACCTAGTTAAGCCTTTAAATGACACTTTAAGCTGTATAAAAGTGTCTTAAAAATATCTAGTCAAATATTTTACTGTCATCATGGCAAAGATAAAATAAATCAGTTATTAGAAATGAGTTACTAAAACTAATATGTTTAGAAATGTGTGGAAAAAAATCTTCTCTCCGTTAAACAGAAATTGGGGACAAAATAAATGGGGGCTAATAATTTAGGGGGGCTAACAATTCTGACTTCAACTGTATATATATATATATATATATATATATATATATATATGCGTGTCTGTGTGATGTATGTAAAATTTGGCCCGCGTCAACGTTTGTTTTTTTGCATCTGGCCCTCGGCCTAAAAAGTTTGGACACCCCTGATCAAAATGAACCGAAATGAGCATCCCTGGAAATGCTATAATAAATTAGAGAGAATTTTTTTTTCTTTTTCTTTTTCCAAAAAATAATAAGGATTCAACAAAAGAATTTAAACATGAATTAATTAAAAATAAAACCTAAATAAATGTAAAAGCATCATTATTTATTGTTAAAATACATAATAAATAATGCTTAACTTTTATATATACACAGCATGCTAAGCTGGGCTGTTTTGCTGTTTTTTTCAGGATACTGTGGCAGCATGGTGATCGAGGAGGAAGATGCACCTATTGGTCTCACACTAGACGACACTAAGCCTGATGGGTCTGTGCCTGCTATAATGGGGTAAATAAATTGCGTTTTTATTGCAGAATAAATGTAAGCCACTAACAAAATGATAGACACAAAAGTAATGCTCGGTTTAGGCAACACAATATATTAGTTTATGATAGTCACATTGTCTATTCATAAATTACTGTCATTTTAAGGCCCTGAAATGCATGATGTCATCGAGGAGGTGGAACTAACAAGGACTGACTAAAGCATCAAATAATGACTAAAGAAGCAGTGTATTTTGTATTTTAAAAAAGACTCAGCAGGCTCTGACATTAAAATGGTGTGGTCTGAATCTGACATAAGCTGCTTCTTTCTGTTTTAGTTTTATTCTGGCACGAAAATCACGGAAGCTGGCAAATCTGACGAGGGATGAAAGGTAGATTTTTATTTCTTCACATATTATTAAATGTCACTATACTGTGATGTTATGCTTACCTGAATGTTATTTCTGCCAGAAAGAGAAGGATCTGTGAGATTTATGCTCGTGTCCTGGGATCAGAGGAGGCGTTATATGTGAGTCTCGATTTCCAGAAATCTTCATTTAGTCTTGAAATGTTTCATTCTTTATTTTCATGGCTGTCTCCTTCTCAGCCTGTGCACTATGAGGAGAAAAACTGGTGTGAGGAGGAATATTCTGGTGGCTGCTATACCGCCTACTTCCCTCCCGGTATCATGACACAGTTTGGCAGGTTAGTGCAGCATCTCTTGTTCGGTATTGTTTTCTCTATCCTGCTTTTGCTGAGTAACCTAGAGCATGAGTTGATACGAGGACTCACTGTTATCTGGATTTCAGGGTCTTGCGGGAGCCGGTGGGCAGGCTGTACTTTGCAGGAACTGAAACGGCCACAGAGTGGAGTGGTTACATGGAGGGGGCCGTGCAGGCGGGAGAGAGAGCCTCTAGAGAGGTACATTCACACACAGCAGGGTTTAGTTACTGAAATCAAAGTCATTTGTTCTGCTAAACTTCAGGTTTCAATCCACCTTGATTCTTTGTGGGCAAAATGGAAGTCATTACCATCAGCGAATAGATTTCGTGTCATAGCTATGGGGTGGATTCTGCTTGGGGAAAACATTCCTTACTCCTCCATTGGAAATGAATAGCAGTAACCGGAGTTGTAGTGGAAATTATGTTTTTTTTTAACACCAGAAATGAAACCCCTGCCATGTTAAGCATCCCTTCCTTGAAATCTCTACTTAATTAAGCCATTTTTCCTCCAAATATAGATGTTACCATTAAATAATCCACCTAATTATTCTTACATTGGTGATTGGGTTTAATCTGACAGGGATGCATTTTTTCGGCAGTACACTAACTTGTATTGTGACCATATCCAAACCCAAATAAATGTGGGACGATTATTAAGACGTGTGTGACTATGTGGGCCATTTCAAAACTAAAACAACCTGAAACTGTGTTTAACTTAATAAAAACATATATTCTGCCAGTCAGTTCGCTTATGTTCTTTGTATCCTTCCAGAAAACAAAAGAAGGCGTGTACATTTTCTAAACACAACAATTAAACCAAAAGACTGATGGAAACGTGGGATATTTTTACAATATGCGAAGTGTGGGACAAAAATACCGTGCTTTAAAATAGAAAATGGAGCGGGTGGTCATCCTAGCAGCTTCTGTGTGTTTATTTGGCAGCATATAAAACTTGAGATAAGATTTTTAAACTTATCAGAGGTGAAAAACATTACACTGCAACTTTTCAATATCAAATCAAGAGAAAATATATAAATATTCATATTTATTTTTTTCATATATTTATATTTAACACATATATTTATTTGTTTAATTTTTAATGTTATTTTTAAGTGCAGATACAGTGCCAAACAAGGCGTATATTCATTCTCTTTTCCTTATCGCACCAATGATAGTGAGGTTTTTGTGGGCATTCCTGGCTATGCCGACCAAGTCTATGTCATATGCTTGTATACGTGTTTAAATGTTCGCTCTAAAATGCTCTTAATAATGTTTAGTTAATGTTTTTTGGTTACAATGAAGCAATATTTGTCTCCCTACTTTGCAGCATTTGAACATCAATTGCTAACTTACAGTATCAAAAGCATTAACAAATTGTTGCACCAGCGTACTATGGATAACCCCAAAAGTTCAAATGTGTTCGCCTTTTAGTACCAATTATAGACATCTTAGATATCACTGTATTCAAGATATCTGTATCTGGATTCGGACCTGGAGAGATTTCAATCGGGACTCACCTCCATTTCATATTTCAAGAACACTAATTGAAAAAGACTAATAATAAAAGTGTGGATTTAGTATTTTGACATATGCTTATTAAACGTCTTGAAATCTTATTAGTTGATGATCAGAAATGAAACCGGAGGCAATTTTTAAAGTGTTAGATGATAGCTAAAAATAAATGTAGACATGCATCATAAATCAGTGTGTGAAATACTGAGAAAAATAAGTGATTTGAAGATAACAAAAAAAAAAAACGAAGAGCAGACCACAACTATGCAGTTGCATAGCGAAATGCAATGAAAGAAGAAAATAATCAAGAGGAACAAAACAAAAAAAAAAGGCTTGCAGGCTGAAAAGAGATTTTGCTAGACATTGTGAACGATCTTGTGATACCAGTGTCACATTGAAATACCAAGCGCTATATTATTTCAGGCTGAATAAAGCTGAACACAATTGACACAAGAGTACAGCTCACTCAGTCAAAGTGACTGACAGAATTACTTGTAGTATGTGTCATTTGGATTTGAAATGTATTTGTTTTGAGCGAAACTTCTCCAAACTGGAAGTGCTTTACATAATTTAAAACACAGGAGACTAGTTGGAGAAAAGATGGATAGGAAATGCATCAACGCAGGAGATTAAACTACTCATATCAAAGCGATCTAGCCTTTGCAGATTGCGATAGAACTACACATCTAAAACTTTAATGAACTACAGATGCCATCGTGCACTTCACTCGCACACCTGGTCCAGATTCCCCCCGATTGCAAACACACAGCTGAAGCTATTCACAACTAATTAAATGGAGTGTAAACTAGTGATGTGATGTTGTGCACAGAGGAGTCGAAGCATGTATCAAAAAAATAATACATCTCACAGTGAAGCAGTGTACCAGAGCTTGATATGTTTAGCCATAATCATGTGATCAGTGACGTCCGAAGCTTTATTTTTGCCTGTACCCACATGACTGCTTCAAATTTTGACACCCTTACAGGTTAGTAAAGTGTATAGTAGAGGTCTGCATTCCTGCGGCTGTCCCGCGGGCGCCGCAGGTCCCGACCAGATTTCTGCGGCGTGGGAATAAATTTCCGAATAAATCGCGGGAGCGGTCAGTAACAAGTTTAATTTGGGACGGGAGCGGGCTGTCTAGCAATATCGCGGATATTGCTATGCGAATGAGAGAGAGAGAGAGAGAGAGCTTTGCCTGTGTGTGTGCTTGGTGCTTGTGTGTGTGTATGTTAGTGCGCACGCGCGAATGAGAGAGAGAGAGCTTTCCCAGATAGCAAAATACACTCGGGCCAGTTCCGGCTAGATTCTCGCCTGCCGGAGACTTATCACTCAGCCTGGCTCCGGCTGCCGGACTCCGGATGCTTGTGGACTCACTGCCCGATTCCGGCCCGAATCAAGGAACCGTATCCGCGCCGGAATCGGCCCGAGAGTAATGTGCGCTGCGGCCCGGAGCTGGCGCGGCTCAGTATTTATATACCTTTATATAAAACCTTTTGGTATTACATTGGTACTTGATACCTGGTATTACAAGCCTTTGAGTTGATATAACAGCAAACGCCTGTGCGTCTGCTTGGTGCTTGTGTGTTAGTGCGCGTGCGCGCGTATGAGAGAGAGAGAGAGATTTGTCTGTGTGTGTGTGCTTGGTGCTGTGTGTGTGTTTATACAGACAGCCTGGCTGTCTGGACTGTATAGCTGGGGGATTTTCGGTTTTGTTCTCCCCCGCTCTTTAGCGGGATCGGGCGCGGCGGGCAAAAAACGGGGCGGATCGGGCAGCGGGACAATAAATTCTTAATATAAGCGGGAGCGGTCGGGTTCGGGCTAAAACCTGGCGGGTGCGGGATTCAAAATTTAGTCCCGCGCAGATCTCTAGTGTATAGCAAGAGATTAGGTGTCGATTACAGGCATTTCTATGGTTTCAAAGTACTGCACCGGTCCCAAGCACCAGTAATTCAACTTAAATACAATAGTAATTTATAGTGAAAAGTCCTTGAACCATACTAAAGTGCATTAGAGTGTTATTTAAAACTATTTTTAGAGCATTCGCCTCCAATGCATGAAGCGCTGGTTCTATCCCCACTCGGAACAAGAGGTTGGGTGTAGGACCCGTTGGATTATGATAAACGTAAATACAATTGAATACCTTTGATTTTACTACAGTCATCTGTGGTGTAATGTAACATTCCCTATATGTAAAAAAAAAATTGAGTAATTTGTTTATTTGACTATTGTTGTATTACTATATGAATGAGTTGGGAAGTTGTGAACGTTTGACATTTTTGTAACACTGTGCTTTCCCACACTTTAACCAGCGGGGGTACTCATCGAGTTCTGATTTGGAAAGCTTCGAGTAACAAACCTATTTCTGATAAAATTTACTTGAAAGGTTCACTGGTTCAGAAAGCTTCAATTCACCATCACTACTATAAACACAGGCAAATGATCAGGCATGTGGCAAAACAACATAATAGTAAAATAAACAAGGATCCAAAAAACACGAAAGGCAAGACAAGGAAAAACACTAGGAAATGTTCACTGACAGCAACCAAGACTCAGCAACAATGTGTGTGCTGTGTTTTTAGTCCATTTGATTAGTCCTGAACGGCTTTAGTTCTGTGTGTTCGCAATCAGGCAGAATCTGGCACATGTGTGTGAGTGAAGTACATAATGGGATCTGTAGCTCATTAAACTGGCAGATTTGTAGTTCTCCAGTGATATGCAAATGCTAGATCGCTGGTGAAAACGACACCTTCATAAATCATTTTCTTACATTTGTTTTGTAGTCAAATTTTAATATTTTTTTTCTGTTTTCTCTATTTTAACAGAACTTGTAATGCTTAGAAACATTATAAATGTCATTTTGATCAATTTATATATTCTTGATAAATAAAAAAGCATCAAAAAAGATTCTTGTCACCCTAAGCAATTTCATAATCTGAAACTAAGACACTTTTTTTGGTCATTTCCTCTAGATAAGAGCTTATAAATGCCTTAAATAAAGATATTAATTACAGTTTGTGTCTAAATATTGTATATTACCGTCTGTTGCTCTATGATAAACACTGTATTCTCCTTTCTTCCAGGTTATGTGTGCAATGGGCAAACTCCATGCGAGTCAGATCTGGCAGTCAGAGCCCGAATCGATGGTATATATTTTGTGTTATTACCTTTTTTTATTTATTGAAGCCACAAATCTCGAAAAAAAGCCATTTTGGTACTTGAAAACATACCACTCTGCGCTCTTCCCCCTAGGACGTCCCAGCCCGGCCGTTTGTCACCACCTTCTGGGAGAGAAACTTGCCATCGGTTGGAGGATTCCTCAAGTTTATGGGTGTGTCCTCATTTCTGGCAGCAGCCACAGCAGCAGGATTGGTCGCCTGCAAAAAGGGGCTCCTCCCACGGTGTTAAAGCCCCTCCCACTTTCTGCAAAGCTGTTCTCTGTGAGCTGGCCTTGTGATTGTGGCATCCAATCACTTAATCAGGGCCACAATGCCGACTGGGTATGAGGCCAAGTTACTTAGATGAGTTTTGACACAATCGCTCAGTCATTAAAAAAATTAACCAAGTGATAATTATGGCATAATGAGTAGCTACTAATTGTTAATGTGGTAATTGCCCTGTCAAACAGTTCACAAACAAGCCACATTAAACGATATGAAAGTGTGACATTCCATAACCATTCACCGCGTATGTTTGCAAGGGTGTATGTGTGTGTTTTCACCAGTCTTATTGATTACCTCTGCTAATATCAGGTGCTGTTCTCAGGAAATCATTAATTATCCTTCCAAAACAAGCAAGTAACATTACTGAGATTAGATAAGATTAGTGACGCATTTTATCATGCTTTGTGATAATAACCTTCCACATAATGCAACACGGCACAGCACAATTCACTATATCATTCACGAGAGAAGCAGAGCCGGTTCATATCGTATTATGAATAACACGCCATGACAATGTTAAATTACCATTAGCGCTTGAAGTGACTGGTAGAAAAATGAAGTTGAGCAGTCATAAAGAGCCGATTTGAAAGATGTCCCAGTGTTTCATGTCATTTCTAAAAGCTGCTGTGTTTTGTGTCGTGATCTGTATCTGATTGAATCACACGAAAGCATTTGAATGTACTTTGACATATTAGATTTCTTTTTTTATGTAACGCAGAGCAGTGTATACTTGAAATATAAATTAGTTTTTTGACATACATTGTCAACCGTCCTCATTGTCCTCTAAGAATTACATAATATATTATTAATTATAAAAAATTATAGATTTTATGTAATTCATTATCATGTTTTAAACAAATATAAAGGCTTTCCCCAGTCTATCTAAACGGTTTAAATAGTTGTTCTTTTTTTTTTCTCCATCCACAAACATTTAGATAGATAGATAGATAGATAGATAGATAGATAGATAGATAGATAGATAGATAGATAGATAGATAGATAGATAGATAGATAGATAGATAGATAGATAGATAGATAGATAGATAGATAGATAGATAGATAGATAGATAGATAGATAGATAGATAGATAGATAGATAGATAGATAGATAGATAGGCAAAGTAGAAATGTCACTGCCTCACCTTTGTAGGAGTAACATGTGCAATATTATTTAAAGAAAAATGACAACAATGTTATAGAGATACACTATAGTTTATCAGATTGTTGTGCTCCTCAGTTATGATAGATTTATATACACAGCTGTGGAAATCGTTTAGAGAATCCCCAACAATTATCCTTTTCTCTGGATTTAAAATTTATATTGATGTGTTTGAGATTTATTCTGTAAACTATTGATAACAAATCTTCCAAAATTAAAAATAAATGTGATTTATATTTATTGTTTTTTACATAAAACAATAAAAAGGCAGTGTTTTGGAAATTTAATTTATTTTTAGATGATACATTCCTTTTTTTTAACTACAAAATAGTTTAGACAACAATATTTGGTGGAATAGCCCTAATTTTCAATGACAACAATAAAAATATAGACCATTTTGAGGGATGTAAACAATAGCAATGGTCCCAACATATTTCCTGTTTTACATTTTTCATTTCTACAGCTTCCGAGAACCCAAAAAGAGCCACATATTAATAAATAATGTTATGATAGTTGTTTTAACATTAAGTTATGATTGAATAGTCACTTGTTACAGATATGAAATAGCTTGATAACAAGCAGGAAATGTTCATGGGCCAATGACATGACCACATTGAAATGGTCTATTTGTTAATCTGGCCAATTGTCATTTTCTGGGGAAAAGCTTTATTTTCATTTAAAAATGTGAACCACGTTTTTTCGATATTTGTAGAATAAAACTACTTTAATGTATTACTCATACCTAATAAATCCAGAGACAACTGAGAATTGCATTGCCATTTTTTTCCATAGCTGTATATCATATCCAAGTAAATGCTATATTGGTAGGAACAAAAAGTAGACATACATTTACTTAAACAAGTCTTAAATTGCAATTACCTGAAAATGCAGCCCAAAAACGAGATTTGAAATGAAATAGTGTTATTGTGTGTACATTTTTGTCGTTCCAAAGATGCGTTGTAATTGTTGTTTGTGGTGCCTTACTCTGATGTAGTTTCCTCATTTCTCAAGTGCCTCTGTGCTGATAATGAGCTCCTCCAATCATGAACATTGTCCTTGGGTCAGTCACTGGCTACTTTAGGTGATGCTTTATAAAAACACGCTCATAACTAAACAAAATTTCTGAATCCTGCGAAGAATACAACGTATGCTTTTCCTGAAGAAGCCAATGTTGATCCAGGACTGTCAGAATCTGAGGCAAAGCCACTCCTGACTGTTGACTAGAACTGTTTGATAAGAACAATTGACTGTCGTAGCTTGAGTCTGGCCAACTGTGAACTTAGTGACAATGATGTGGTGACTTTCACATGTTGTAGCTGCTGTTAACTCCTCCACCTGGTGTGTTAGTGAATCGTGCCTCTCTGTTTGTCTGTGTGCTGTTAATGCTTTTCCCCAAACTGCATAACATGGTCGTGTTTACCTGACCTGTCGACGCCTGCTTCAGTTTGCATAGCTGCCCAGCTACGTTCAGACCCTTTTGTCTGATTTTTGTGTGCGTATCAAAATGTCCAATGGTCTAGTCCTGTAATTGCATCATTTGATCCCTTTGTACAAATCCAACGACTGATAATAAAAGTGTGTGATTTACTACCAGCCCGTGTTTTTTTGTGATCGCTATGTTCAAGTGTGTGTGTGTGTGTGTGTGTGTGTGTGTGTGTGTGTGTGTGTGTGTGTGTGTGTGTGTGTGTGTGTGTGTGTGTGTGTGTGTGTGTGTGTGTACACACCGTGTGATGCCCTTTAAACTCACAAGCATCTAGATTGGCGTGACGTGTTCCTTCAGGGCAGAGAGACGAGGTTTCTTCCAGCAGTGCAGAGCTCATTTGCATGGAGTGCCACTGATTTAACTTCCATCACTTTCATGGAAATACAAGATTTTGATCTTTTTGTCTGTATTTTTTTTATTAAAGTCATACGCCAGAGGGAAAGGCGGTATGAAAGATGAATTCTTAATCTTGCCAAACTGTTTTGTTGTTTTGAAAAGAGATCTCTTTCATTTATGGATGTTGAGATCGACAGGCAGAAAGAGAACAGGAGCACCACCTGATTGGACCAATAGGTGGTGCTTGTGTAACATGTAAATCCAAAAATCTCTCTCATGTAAATCTCTCAATATGACAAGTCTTGTTGCTAATTCAAGTTTTAGCAGCTGTATGAAATCCAAAGGTTTACATTCTTAATCACCTGTTTCTAAATGGTCTGTCTCTAAAAGTGCGGTGGGCGTATCCCCACCCACCCCCCCGGCTGCGCCTGGATGAGGACAGCACAAATGTCTTGATACCTCAGGCTGTTAATGTTGCCATCCCCTCTGCAGATCTCTCGCACACCCCTATACTGAATGTAATTCCAAACCATGATTGTTCCTTCACCAGACTTGTCTGATTTCTGTGACATTCTTTGGTTCATGCTGATTCCAATAAGTTTTCTGCAGTATTTGTGGTGATTGACATGCAGTTTAACAGATGATTAGGAAAATCTACTTTCTGCTACTTTTCCAACTAATCAAAGACTTCAAGTTGTTATTTGTTGCTCTTACAACTGGGATCAATGACAAGACTTCTCAGGTAGTGTATATATATTATAAATAACCTACATGTATATTGAGGCCACTGCTTAGTCTTATTTGAAGTTAAAGCAGTACTAAAATATATATATATATATTTTTTTTAGAAAATATGAATTGCGCATATTCTGAGGATCAGTAAAAAACTAAATTATGAATACGCCATAGACTAGCTGGTGTTCAAACATACAGAACACAAGGGAAATTACAGATTTTAAACACTTTAATCTCTTTTAGAAAAAAGTCTCAGAAAAGTATAGTATATGTAGGAAAGTATAGCATATTATTGAATCACACCACATGTTCCTCAGACAAAAGCTTTACTGAGTATGCGCTGTCTCGTTTGTCTTCAAACAGCAAAAAGGTAATTTACTTTTCATGAATGGAGGTAAATCTTTTGCTGTATGAGAACAGAAAAAAAGAGAAATTGGAAAATGTGATGTTTACCTTGTGACTCTGCCAAATGTTATCACCTCGTCACTGCCCACAATGTCTCCCGCCATCCCAGCTAAGCATACAAAAGAAGCAGCAGTGTTGTATAGAGATAAGGAATGCTGGGATATCGTATCACCCAACGATACTTTGAAGTTGTAGATGCTGAAAATGGGTTGTAGTGCAAAGAGGGGGGAAACACAAATAAATTGTGTGCGATAAGCACTGGATAAGACTCTCCTCCAGACCGAAGAAAAGAAAAAGAACAGAAGAGGCATCACCAAACATCATCAAACGAGAGAGAGGAGCAAATCCCACATGAAAGAAGGAAGAAAATATCCCTAAAGACACAATTTAGAGACGACCAGGGGTCCTTATTAAGATTTAGTGTAGGCTACTTGCTAAACAGTTCTGTGTCACTTCATTAAAGAAAAGGTGTGAGGCTGCTGTGCTATATGAGAAAAGCCTGCAACCCCATTCAGTCATCTCAACTATTGTGTATTCAGGATTGTGGAATATGTGCTGTACACAACCAAATATTTTAAACTAGCTAGGCTAAGACATTTTTAGGCTCTCTGTACATTTATAAGTTATATTTCATTTAGGTAGGTTTCTGACAGGAAAGGCCATGTTTTGTGATCGGCCGATTCGAATCACTCGATTAAATGGGCATTATCAGTGGTTATCAGCTGATAGATATGAGCCAGTAGAGGCCTTCTGCGCATCCTGGCATGTGCATCCACATGGTTAATCGGCCCGGAAGTTAAGTTATTAACATCTACTTCTACCCCAACCCTGAACAGTCACAGTAATGTAAAAACAGATCTGAAGTCTTCTCTATTAAATTCCAAATTACAGAAATTCTTAGTTTTATTTTGAGGGAAAGTTTAAGCTTCTCAAGTTGTAGGCAGGACGACATTTTTTATCAACCTGGGGAGGATATTTTCGTTTCCAATTTAATTAAATCAATCTACATGCCAAAAGGGTTATAAATCTTATCACTGCACTGTGATTTTTAGATTTAGACTGTGATTTAGATTTAGTTCTGCATCATCACTGACACCAAATATAGCTAAAATGGGCCCAGAGTATATTTGTTTTCCCACCGCTTCTGATATTAACTGAAAAACCAAAATCCAGTAATTAACCAATTTAGGACAACTCCAAAACATGTGACCAAGCGATGCCGGAGTGTGACTGCATCTGTCACACAGTTGGTCTACAGAGGGAAACATGTTTGGAGAGCTTTGATTTAGACAAGTGGAGTCGGTTTAGAAAGTGGGTTTTTATCACTCCAATATGACAGTGGACACACTGTCCAAAACAGCTTACAAAAGTAGATTTTCCACTCTTAAAAATAAAGGTTCTTTGTTGGTGTAGATGGTTCTTTAAAGAACCTTTGACAGTTATGGAACCTTTTCAACTTAAAAAGGTTCTTTGCAGCCCCAAATGGTTATTTGTACTATGAAATGGTTCTTCACGTGATTGTCGCCCTTTAATAAATAAACATTACTTTTTAAAATGACTGTTGAGATCAGAAACTGTTAATAAAAGACTGATGAGATAATGATTTGTAGCTTGGATCTCTTTCAGAGTTTATCTTTGAAAAATAAAGTATAACACTGAATCCTGCCACCATGTAGTTACCAATTTAGGCATGTATTATTTACTTGCTGAAGAAGTGGGCAGATTTAGGGCATTCAAGCTTTATTAAATTTAAATTTTACATTCAGCGCCTTAATTTTATGTAGCAAATAAATTCATTTAATTTAGGACTGTGAGATCACACAAACTAATATCAGTTAGAAAGGAGACCTTTAATGCATTTCATGACCAAAGAATTGAAAATATACCTTTAAAAATTAAATGATCATGTAATACAGTATAATCCTCCATAAATGTCTGTGCTGATGTGCAGGAATACAATAACTGTGGTGAGTCATGTTTGTTTGTTTGTTTGTTTGTGTGTGTGTTTGTGTATGAATGTGTGGGTATAAGGCCAATACTTAATTTATGCCAAGTGAATATTCAGAGCCTTAAGAGTCCTGTCTGAATGTCTGAGCATCATGACATCCACCATCTGCTGCTGGATCAAACTGTGTGCTGGTTGCTGAGATAAATGGAGGATATTACGTCTAAATGTTGCTGTTTAATCCATCATTTAAATGACTCCTGAATTGCCCATAGATACCATGAAACATACATGACACCATCTGTGTGTGAATTATTTCCTCTGAGCATAGAATGAAAGCAACAGAAGTCTTTAATAATGTGAATGCGCCATGCTGTCCCAACAAATATCCTTTTCTGTGCCCTTCCTTCTCAATATCTGCCACAGGTTTCAATCATTCAAATCAAATATGTATTATAAATTCAAATGTTATTTAGACACTAATTCTCTTGCAATGTATTGACTTACAATTGAAAAGCATTTATTTGTGAGTAAAAATATAGCTTAAAGTTTGACGTATAGCTTAAAGGTATATAATATTAATTCATTTAAAATATAATAGTTTATATATAAAATTGAGAAATAGTTTTGCAAACAGGTGGTTCATTGAAAAATCCCAGATCTGGAAGCCAGTGGCTGGATATTGTACAGTCCATTCCACTGGAGATATGCTGGAGGCATGCTTTAAGACACATTATTGTTGGGCTAATGAAGTCTATTCAAATCTGGTGTCTCCAGAGTGATTCTAAATGAAAGAGGCAAACAAAGGAGGTCAAATGTGACCTGCTAATAATTTGGCCCATAATGAGAATGTGAGTTCTGTAATAAAGAAAACAGAAGCACAGGCACTGCTTGAACCCACTGGGGGAAGGGTCAGCGGTGCCACAGACAAACTGTTCTGCCTTAATAAAGTGTTTTAAAGCAGCTGGAAGTGAGTCAGAGAAGTGAGACAGAGAGTAGAACCCGTATTTTGTGTCTAAAGTATTTACTTTTCCCTTTAATTTCCCTTTAATATTTAATGTGTCCGTAAATTGTTTCCAGTCTTTATGGTTAATACTTTTCTAGTTCATTGATGGTCATATGACATCTATGTAAACATGAAATATTTCATTCATTTATTCATTTGTTTTCCTTCGGCTTAGTTCCTTTATTCAACAGAGGTCGCCACAGCGGAATAATCCGCCAACGTATCCAGCATATGTTTTACACAGTGAATGCCCTGCCAGCTGCATCCTAGTACTGGAAAACATCCATACACACTCATTCACACACATACACTACAACCAATTCAGTTTAATTGTTTTACCTGTACCGCATGTGTTTGGACTGTAGGGGAAACCAGGACACTTGGAGAAAACTCACACAAACACAGGGAGAACATGCAAACTCCACACAAAAATGCCAACCGACCCAGCCAGGACTCGAATCAGCGACCTTCTTGCTGTGAGGCGACAGGCGAGCAAATAGAGGAGACACCATACCATGAAATATTTCAAGTGTTTTATTTTAATTTATCATACATTGTTATGATTGGGTTCATTATATCAAATCTCCACCCATCATTAATGTTGATGATAGTAAAGAATGGAATATTGTCTTTCTCCTTGTAGTCTATATTAATATATCAATAATTAAATAGGTGTACTAAAT